GTTCAGCATCTTAACCACTTGAGCCACCGCAGCTCCAGTTTGGGGCACCACAATTTTAAAAGGATGTAGACAAGCTGGAACATGTCCAGAGGAGGGCAACGAAGATGGTGAGGGGTCTGGAGACCAAGTCCTATGAGGAAAGGTCGAAGGAGTTGGGTCGTCTAGCCTGGAGAGGAGGCGACTGAGAGGTGATGTGAGAACCACCTTCAAGTACTTGAAGGGCTGTCGTACAGAGGATGGGGCGGAGCTGTTCTCTGTTGCCCCAGAAGGCCAGCCAGAACCAACGGGTTTAAATGAAATCAGAAACGTTTTTTGGCTAAACATTAGGACGAACTTCCTGACAGTTAAGAACGGTTCCTCAGTGGAACAGGCTTCCTTGGGAGGTGGCGGGCTCTCCTTTTTTGGAGGTTTTCAAACAGAGGCTAGGTGGCCCTCTGACAGCAATGCTGATTCTGTGAACTAAGGCAGATCATGAGAAGCAGGGAGGGCAGGGAGGGTCGCCTCAGTGTTTAGTTCTCGTGGCCCTTTTTTACACGCCCAGGGAAATGCTGATCGCCACTTTGGGGTTCAGGAAGCAACTGTTCTCCAGGCCAGTTTGGCCAAGGATCCTGAAGAGTCCCCCCCTTTCTTCTGGGCACAGAGCAGGGGTCACTGGGGGCATGGGGGAGGTATTTGTGAATCTCCTGCATTGTGCAGGGGGTTGGACTAAATGACTCTGGAGATCCCTTCCAACTCTATGATTCTATGACTCTGTGTAGCATTGCTACAAATTCTCAGCACCTTAGGCGATGCCAATTAGGTCTGGCATATCATCCTTCACCCAAGATGACCACCGTAGCAAGGGCGGGGCCATGGCTCCATAGCAGAGCAACTGCTTGGCAGGCATGCAGAAGGCCCCAGGTTCAATTCCCACGGCATCTTGAGTTAAAGGGCCCCTTTTGGGCTGCTGCAGGCCGATTCAGATTCTCTGATCTGAATCGGATTGCCACCGAACTTCGGCAGCAATTCAGCCCTATTATATCCTATGGGCCATTGAAGTCAATGGCGAAAACATAGGGTATATTCTGGGGACTGGAGGAGAGGGGGTTTAAGAGGGAGGTTCCAAACTCGCAGGGTAGCTGCAGGAGCCTCTCCCCAAGATACCCACCAAGTTTTAAGAACATTGAACCAGGGAGTCCAATTCTACGGACCCCCAAACAGGTTGCGCCCATCCCCTCCACTGTTCTCTATGGTGCGAAAAAAGTAACTTTTTCCCAGCCATATATAATGGGGCCGAAATTGACATTGGGCTGGCCAAAAGACTCCCTAATGGGCTGTACTGCTGAAATTTACATGCGGGAGTCTGTCTGCCAGCCGAAATGGATTCTGCCCGATTCGGCTGAATCTGAATCGGGCCGAATTTTTTTTTTGCACACCCACTTACAAACATAACAAATAACAAACACAAGTAACGTGCTGATGGCGGTAACAACTCAGCAGGCCATGTTCAGATGGTGACAAAAATATGGCCAGAGTCGGTGTCCAGTGTATCCCAGCTGGCCGCATTTGATGTTGACAGAGACGGCCTTAGCAATTCAGTTGTTATTAGTAGCGGCTCCTAATCGAAGGCCTGGTGGAAGAGCTCCGTTTTACAGGCCCTGCAGGGCCCTGATGTCTTCCGGGAGCTCATTCCACCAGTGTAGAGCCGCTACCGAGAAATTCCTGGTTGAGGCCAGTCTGGTGTCTTCCGGTCAGGGAGGGTCAAACGGTTTTGAGACCCAACCTCAGTGCTCTCTGGGGAACATGTGGGGAAAGGCGGTCCCTCAGGTAGGCAGGCCCTAGACCGTATAGGGCTTTAAAGGTCAAAACCAGCACCTTGATGCAAATCCAGTATGCTATTGGCAGCCAGTGTAGTGCCTTCAGCACAGGCTGGATGTGCTCTCACATAGGGAGGCCCATCAGCAGCCTGGCCGCCACATTTTGCACCAGCTGCAGCTTCCAGAATTGCGACAAGGGCAGCCCCATGTAGAGAGCATTGCAGTAGTCCAACCTCGAGGTGACCACTGCATGGATCACTGTTGCCAGATCATTGCATTCGAGGAAGGGAACCAACTGCCTAATCAGCCGGAGATGGTAAAAGGCTGCCTTGGCTAGAATCTTCCACCCAGGTGGGCTCACCTGACCCCCCCCCCCGATCTCCACTGTTTCTCTGTACCACGCTCTTTACCACGTCAGGGTGGGTCCTGTTGGGCAGCTTGAGGGCACTCAGGTAGTACTGTTCATCCAACTCTGTTTCCTCATGTTGCAAGACGTTGACCTGGAGGCGGAGCTCTCTCCCACGCTCCCGCAAGGCCTTGTAAGCAGGGAGCTGGATGGGAAAAAAAGGTGAAGGCCGTCAGATCCAAGTATACGTGAAGAACACATCTCAGAGCCAAACTGATCTGTGGCCATGCTGGTGGTCCATGGTGCTGGACAATTGATGGGACTTAAGTTTTGTATGCTAAGCCTGGCCGGGGGGCCTGCGGGGCCCCTTAGCAAGTGTAAACTTAACGGAAACATCGATAACAGGAAGTTCTCAGAAAGGAAGTGGCCCCTAATTAATAAGAACTGTAATTTCTACACCAGCTGACCTTTGGGCTCATTCCCACAGAGGTGGAAGAGTTCGCAATTCACTAAATTGCTCTGTACACACAAGACCGGCTGCGCATCAACAGTGCATTTTATCTCCTTGGGCGGGGGGGGGGGGGTGTACTTAATCAATGGACAAAAATTAAAATGTTTAATGAACTATGGTCTACTTTCTCAGAATGGTCCATGAGATAAGAACTTGTTTCTTATCTTCAAACATTAACTCTGCCCCTAATTATCTTTGCATAAATCGTACCCGGATGAGCAGTGCTAAATTAGACACTTTCAGTGAGAGCTATGTTTAAAAAAAAAACAACCAATCAGACTGTGCCAACAATTAGCTGATTAACATTACTGATGCTGATTTTGTAAAGAAGATAGGGCAATTTCCCCCCCATATGTGGTGGGAATGTATACAAGCTTCTAACTATTGGAAATTAGTGGTGAAAGCTATCTCAATAGGGTTAGAAGTACAAATCCTCCATAGATCAGAGACTTTATTGTTGAATTACTTGCCTGACACGTCTAAAGATCAACAAAAGGTTTGTTTTACATATGATTACTGCTTGCCAGGCTGGTTCTCACCAGGCAATGGAAAGGGAAAAAAACCCTCCTAAATTACAAGATCGGTTGGAAAAGATAAAGGAGATATATACTTTAGTTAAATTAACTGCCTATCGGAATATTAGAAATACTCGTAGAATAGATCTTCTGTGGTCAAGAGCGATACAAAGAATGGAGATGATAATGGTTTAAGTAAAATAGTAGTAATTGACAGTTGCTAATGACAGGTTCTCTAAAGCTGTGGTCACACACACAATCCACTTTCAGTGCACTTTCCAACTGGATTTTACTGTGTGAACTGGTAAAATCCAGTTGCAAAGTGGATTGAGAGTGGATTATTTCGTGTGTTTGACCACAGCCTATGATTAGGGAGGAATACTGAAAGAGGGTTTAGATAGTTAGCATTAGACAGGCATTCTATTTTTAGACGTAATTCTATATTTTCTGCATATTCATATGCCTTTTGTAGTTTACAAATTATTTGATTAAAAAAACCCAACATTATTCATTGTAATAACATAGAACACCGGATCAATCGTTTTTTTGCTAAGAGCAGACCTGAAAACTGGCTCGAATAAGTTGTGGCTGGCTCTGCATGGCCACAGGGCTCAGAAGAGCATACGTCTGCTTTGGATGGCACTATGAGTTACAGCTGGGATCCCTAACATGGCGCCCGTGGCCACCATAATGCCCACCAGTACCTCCTGGCACTCACTTAACTTTCAGAAAGTGGGAGGGCCCATTGTAAGGCGGGGCTTGTTGTTGGGCCCCCTCGTTCGGATGAAAGGGTTTTCCACTGAAATAGCAGCCACAGCCACTATAGGATCTCTGAGTAGTTCCATTTCCCCTTTAGACTTCCCTTCTTTTTAATAATAATAATAATAATAATAATAATAATAATAATAATAATAATATAGTTTGTTGTCATTGTACATAGTACAACGAAATTAAGATGCAATCATTCATTTAAAATCCCCCTTCTCTTTCTCCCTCCACCACCCAGGCTTTTATACATGACTTTTTATTCCCTTTCCATGACTCTTTTGCAAAGTGAGGAGGGAGGTGTTGTGTTTGGCTCCACCTCCTGCAGCAGCCATTTTGGGTTCAGCTCCACTTTCTGCGGCAGCCATTTTGGGGTGGCACTCTCCACGCTGTCTCAAAATTCCAAAGGTGTCCACAGGCTCAAAAAGGTTGAGGACTCCATGGCTTACTGCAATCCAAGCTTTCTGAAATCAGTGGGCTTAGACTTGAATAACTCGGTGAAGCAATGTCACGGCTAGTCACCCAGAGAGCAGGGGGGGGGGGGGCCTGTTCTTACCGACTGCAAAGTAGTATTCTTGTGGCTTTTCTGGAATTGGGAAGAGAAAACAGAAAGGTAACGTGTTTTCCCCCAAATAAACCCAACAGCACAATGTAGCAATTACTACTGGTTCAGTGTTCCCTCTAAGCCGAGTTAGTGTGAGCTAGCTCACAGATTTTTAGCCTCCAGCTCACAGATTTTTGTCTTCGCTCAGGAAAGATGGCTCCAGAGCAAGGTAATTTATGCAGCAGCCAAATCGCTTGCTCACAATTTGAATGCCAGTACCTCACAAAGTAGAATTTTTGCTCAAAGGGCTCCGCAGCTTAGAGGGAACATTGCTGGTTATATGCCAAAAAATTCAACAAGTCTAAAAATATGGCTACAGTACATCTTCACTGCACCTCCTCTCACAGTTGTGGTAGGCAATTTGACAATAGTCACACCTTTGCAGCCTCTGTGGTGCTACGAAATGCAAAACCAGATATTAGGGGAAGGGAGATACCCACAGTCCCAGAAGCGTTGCAAATTTTCTATGTGTATTTGCTGCACTGCCTGTGCACTTCCCGGTGGGGTTATTCTACAAGGGCAAACTCACCACAAGATTTTTCACGCTTTCAGCTACTTCTGCTTTCTCTGCTTCGAGTTTTGCGATCTCCTCTTGCACCTCAACCAGCCTCTTCCAAGTAGCAAGCTGGCAAGTGATCATTTAAAAAAAAGAAAAGAGTTATGAGCTGGACATGCATGAAGAAACAGAGTATCAAAAATACTTTGTAAATAAATAGATCAGAATAAATCAACAAAAATGGAGCCACCTTGAGCCAAGAGGAAAGGTGGGGTATACATATTTAAATAAAATTTTAAACAAATATCCTGCCATAAAAATGCCTAATGCAGTTTTGGGCTTCAAAGATGAAGCTGCCCTTTACTGAGTCAGACCATCGGTCCATGAAGGTCAGTATTGTCTACTTGGACTGGAAGCAGTGCTCCAGGGCCTCAGGCAGAGGTGTTTCACATCACCTTCCATCTGGTCCTTTTTAACTGGAAATGCCAAGAATTGAACCTGGGACCATCTGCATGAAAAACAGGAGCTTTTCTACTGAGTTACAGCCCCTAGGTAAATGCTTCATTAACAGAAGGACAGTACCCAAGTCACAAGATTAACAGTGCTACTCTATTCTGCATTCACAGAACAATTCTGGAGGACTGTTCATAGTGCCAAATTTCACAAAGGCGGTAGACAAACTGAAACAGATTCAGAGGAGTGCCATAAAGATAGTTTGCGGGGATGGGGTTGGAACACAAGTTCTATGAAGAAATGTTGAAGGAACTGGGTAAATTGGACCTAGAAAAGAGAAGGCTGAAGGGCAGCAGGATTGCATTTTTTGGATGCCAGCAGGACTTGTTCTTGCTACTTTAGACTGCTGCAAGGCACAATCTAATGCAAGGGGGGATTGACCATTTATCTCACTGGGAAAGTCCGCGATAGGCTTTGGAGGACTGTAAACAGTGCCAATCCCAGCAGCCCTGCCTTGAGTAAGACCTCTCAGTAGCAACAGTTACTGCTGTCATCTCACCCACTGCCTTTTCCTACAGTTGTGAGAGAGCTGATGCCTTCAGGCCATGTCTGAGCTGAGCTTACATTGCCACAGGGGCCTCTTGGCTTGGTTTCCTTGTGAACCATTTAACTTCTCTGTGTGCTTCCAATGTGCTTAAGTTCCAGGTATATAAATGTTGGTAGAACATTAGGAGAAACATAACAGTTTCTTAACAGAGCAGTTTGACAATGGAACTAACTACCTGGAAGATCTTCAGGCAGAGGGTGGACAAACCATCTATCGAGAATGCCCTAGCTTTGAATTTCCTGCATTGAGTGAGGGCTTGGATTTGATAGATACAAGGTCCCTTCCAATGTTATGATAGATGGGACAGCTCATCTTATTTCTCCTTTAGACACCCAAGCCTGATGAGAGAATGTCAGCTCATTATAGCTATCAGAGCATCAGACCAGGATCTTCTGACAGACCCAAGTTCAAATCTGTACTCTGCTACCATGTGACCTTGGGCAGTTGTTCTTTCTCTTAGTCTACCTTATGTCACAAGTTTCTCGCGCGAAGGAGCGAGGAGCACAAGACCACAAACACCAGCCACAACTCTTGGAAGAAGGGTGGGATTAAAAGGCACTGCACAGATATACACCTTACTAATTTCATTCAGAAAGTGCAAACGGGGCCTCCATTTCTTCAACATTTGACTGTACTTTTATGCTTTACCGTTATTTATTAAGTGGCAAGCCGCCTCCTAAACATTTTTACTGTACTCCGGGATTGAAATACTTGAGATAAATAAATGGAAAACCAGAGGGAGATGCAAGTCCTCGCGGGACCATTTGTGCCAACTGCTCTCTGCACACACCCAGAGTTTCTTCCTCAGCTCTGGGGCCGCAAAAACTCAGACTCAACTCAAGGTCCCCCCACCATCACCGCAAGGTGCTTACGATCTGGCGCAGATCCCCGGGCGCCAGGGGCCCCTTCCGCCTCTCCAGCTCCCGTTCCGCCGCCTCCTGCCGCGCGCTCAGCGCCTCCACGTCCAGGCGGGGCCGCGCCGTCCACCCATTTTGCACATGCTCGTACAATCGGCTTTTCCCAGCGGGGGCGCTGCCGCTCTCCGTCCTAGCTAGCGGCTGCTGGAGCCCCCGTTGCAAGACCCTCCATTGCCGCCCCAGGCCCCGGTAGAGCCGCACGGGCGCCGCCATGTTGGGAGGTCATGTGATACCGCTGCCTGTGTCCAATGACAGAACGCCGTCTGCGCAGCGTTCTACCGACGGGCCAATCAGAGACGTCGGTAGTCTCGTCCCAGCTGAGACTTGGTTGCCATAGTGAGGGAACAATTGGGGGAGCGAAGAATCTGTGTTTTTTATATTAGTGCTATATAAATAAAGATGCAACAACTTGGGAAAAAGGGGGGGGAGGACAATACAAAAGTCAAGTGCTACTCTTCAGTTTTCTTGTCTGCTATGGGGTTGCCAGCCTCCAGGTGGGGCCTGGAGATCTCCCACTATTATTTCTGCTCTCCAGACAATAGAGATCAGCTCCCCTGGAGAAAATGGCTGCCTTGGAGGGGGGAACTCTATGGCTTTCTACCCTGCTGAAGTCTCTCCCATCCCTAAACCCCGCCCTCCCAGGCTCCATCCCCTCACATCTTCAGATATTTCCCAACCGACAGCTGTCAATGCAATGTCTGAATCAGGCCCTAGGAAATCAAGATTGCTAGCTCAGCATTCAGATATTCCTGCAGATTTGGGGGTGGAGTCTGGGAAAGGCACAGCTGAGGGAGGGAGGGATGTGATGCCAGAGACTCCACCCTCCAAAGCAGCTATTTTCTCCAGGGGAACTGATCTCTGTTTATCTGTTGTAATTCTGTGAGCATTCCAGGCCCTGCCTGGAGGTTGGCACCCCTAAGCCTGATACAGAGTTCTGCAGAACCCAGAAGCCTGCACAGTTCTGGTTTTTTGGGTTTTGTTTTTTTGTTGGCCCATACAAAAAAGGATATTCTCATGATGACCAATGCTCCCTCTAAGCTGTGGTCTTGTGAGCAAAAAGATTCTACTTTGCGAGCGACTGGCATGGAAGTTGTGAGCGAGCGATTTGGCTGCTGCATAAATTAGTTTACTCTAGAGCCATTCAAGGAGCTGCGGTGGCTCAAGTGGTTAAGACGCTGAACTGCAGGCTGTGGAAGGTCGGTAGTTCAGCAGTTCGAGATCCGAGTTGCCACATGACGGAGTTAGCTCCCATCTCTAGTTCCAGCTCCTGCCAACCTAGCAGTTCGAAAGCAAGAAATTGCAAGTAGATAAATAGGTACCACTTTGGTGGGAAGGTAACAGCGTTCCGTGTGCCTCGGTGTTTAGTCATGCCGGCCACATGACCACGGAAACGTCTTCGGACAGCGCTGGCTCTTCAGCTTGGAAACGGAGATGAGCACCGCAACCCTAGAGTTGGACTCGACTGGCTTTCGAGCAAGGGAACCTTTACCTTTACCTAGAGCCATTCTTCCTGAGTTTGGACAAAAATGTGAGCCGGGCGCTAAAAAACTGTGAGCTAGCTCACACTAACTCTGCTTAGAGGGAACACTGATGATGACTGATGTTTCTAGATTCTGTTTTGGACCAATCCAACTCTGTGCAAGTTTTGGTTGATTTGTTTTTTGCAATACAAGCACCCACCTCTGGAGGGAAAGCAGCCTTTTGCACTGCAGTTTATTGGGGGTGCAGTGGCTCAAGTGGTTAAGACGCTGAACTGCAGACCGGAAGGTCCGGTAGTTCAGCAGTTCGAAAGCAAGAAATTGCAAGTAGATAAATAGGTACCACTTTGGTGGGAAGGTAACAGCGTTCCGTGTGCCTCGGTGTTTAGTCATGCCGGCCACATGACCACGGAGACGTCTTTGGACAGCGCTGGCTCTTCAGCTTGGAAACAGAGATGAGCACCGCAACCCTAGAGTCGGATTCGACTGACTTTCGAGCAAGGGAAACCTTTACCTTATTGGGGGGGGGGGAGAGTGTGTGTGGCTAAATAGATGCTGCAAGACATCTATCCCAATGGGCCTGCACAGAGCCCCTTTTCCCAGGCGTGTCCCTCTGCTAGGTTTGTCAACCTCCAGGTGAGGTCTGGTGTTCTCCCAGAATTACAGCTGATCTCCAGAAAATGCAGCTTTGGAAGGTGAACTCTATGGCATTATATCCTGCTAAGGTCTGTCCCCAAAAACCGCCTTACCCAGACTCCATCCCCAACTCTCCAGGACTTGAGTTAGCAATGCTGTCACTGTTACCATAAACAGTCTTGAGAACGGATGGAAAGGGGTGTGTGTAGGGCAGTGCAAATGGAATCTCCTGGCTGGAGATTGGAAACCCAGAAGTATTTGTGTGCTAACAGCATGAGACGTCTGGTGACTGCCTCTACGCAGTAAGTTAGCCTTGAGAGGCAGATAGCAGACAGCTGCCTGAGAGAACTTGAAAACATACACACACACATTCCAAAAGGATGCTCTAATGCTTGTAACTCCCGGTGTATAAATAAAGCTGCTGCGTGAAAGAAGGAGGTTCGTTCCTTCCTTCCTTCCTTCCTTCCTATCAGTTCCTGCAGAAGCTGTTTGTGTCCTGTTGTCTTTGTATCGGGAACCCTGCACCCCACACCCTAACGAGCAGCACCTCAGGTGTGTGTGTGTGTAAATTGATAAGATAACAAGGAAAGGCTGGCCGTGGGTCAGGGAGCAGTGCCAACAGAAAACCAGATTCCCAAAGTTGGAATATCCACTGGTGTTTTGCAGCGAGAACATTATACCACTGCCCTCGAGAACAAGAGAAAGACAAGAGACAGAATAAAAAGTAAAACTTTTTATTTTTTTTAACTCCTCCACAACTGGAGGAGGGGCTCAGACATAGTTGACACACATAACAAAAGGAAACGGTACAGTCCTGACTGAGAGGAAAGGGCTATACCACTTCCACCTGCCAGTGGGAAACAGAGGGAAATCACAGCCGAATGTTTTTCTATATAAAATATACTCCCTCTAAGTAAAGGAAGGAAGGAAGGTCATGCTGAGACCCTTCCTCCCTTTACCCATGTGAGAGTTTAATTTATTTGTTAAACCCCAACTGCAGTTAGGACTCATAGAAGCCCACTGTACCACCTCTGGCTTCTACTGCAGTTGTAAGCCAGGATGCAAGAATTCTTTCGCCCCAGTTACAACATTCCTTCAACGGAAGAAATAACAAGGGAAACGTGCACACAGTCCCACCCCATGCAGGCTTGAAGCAGTTCTCCGTGCAGGAATCCCATCGCCCCTTGAAGCTGTCTTTAACACCCTTCAATAAACATGAAGAATACAAACCAGTTCTGCTTGGTACAGAACAGATGAGACTCAGGGCAGGGAGAGGTGGCCCAAACCACGTCAGAAGTCCCATCAACCCCCTTCACAGTCCAAACTAGCGGCTTCAAATTTTACATCTCAAAACAAAATGGCTCTGCCTTCAGGGACGGACGCACGTTAAAAGCCAGTTAGCCGAAAGAGCTGCTGAAGCCGCGGACAGTCATGAACGAGAAATATTGATTTCTATAGGCTTTATGTCTCCCTTGGAATGCTCTATGGGCTTCATGTTTCCTCCTTGGAATGTATCTTGCTGACCCCCTGTTGTTTGATTTCCTCTTGAAGCCAGATGGCTGACCATTTGGTCAATTGCCTGCCATAAATATTCCTTCACTCGCTGGCAGAGACCAGAAACAAGCAAATACGCACGTAACCCATGGAGGGTTGGGGTGGGGGTCACATGCCTGCAGGTGGGGCCTCCAAGACAACTGACCATTCAGAGGTTGTTCCCATGGTAACTATAGATTTGGGCACACCCAGGTCTCCTTCAATTGGCTCCTGGCCAGAGCTAATCTGAAGGCTGAATTGCCCTATATCTGTGTAAACCCGATGAGAGATTCTCTCTTGCTCTCTCTGTTCGGTTCCTGCTATGTTCTCTGTTGATCTGTGTCTGTCTATCTGAGATGCTGGGATGCCATGTGGCCTGGGAGAGAACAAAGGACTGCTTGTGAGCACATGGCTGCATGCTTTGTACAAAGATGTGACCTAATTGGACTTTGTACTGGGACGTCTTGACTATGGATCATCCTGGTAACTATGCAGATCTCTAATGTTTAGTTAGGGCCAAGGGCCATAGGTTTTCTTGTTTTCAGTACTCCCTGTAGTCTGTTAAGCTCTGTGCTAAAATAAACTTCTCTTGGTTTTCTAATGTGTCTTGATTGATTGTGGTAACTGGACTTCAAGCCTAAACTCCTGTGCCTAGCTGGCTGCACGCTACCATTGAGCCTTAAGAGTGCATCTCTGAGGAGGTGCTAGAGTGGGAATCCAGAGAGGGTAGTCTACCTCCCTGGGTATTGTTGTTAATGTACTATAAACGTATAGGAGTTTTCCCTCATTCCTAGACAGGCGTGGGGGCAGAATCCTTCACAGAGGCGCTGGGTCCAAGAGAGCTGTTCTGCTAGCAGATAAGGTTTCCTCTGATGGAAGAGAGAAACCAGGCATCTACGGCTCAAGGCTGCTCTGGGGAGAATGGCTCATGGGTCTCAAGGCCGGGTCTACAGCTTCGGGAGGCCTTCAGTAAAATGCCTCCTGGTACCCCCCCCCCCCCCAAAGAAAAAAAAACCGGCCCCATTGTACCTTCTATAGCACAGTTGCCATTCACTCGCTGGCCTCCGGCTCAATTCCCCCCCCCCCACCAAGTGGCAGCTACTTCTCCCACTGAGCACCCCCCATATCAGCGTGGCACCTTCCTGGAACAGTGGGAGAGGGTGTGCTGTGCTGCGCGGGGGGGGGTCTATGTCCTTAGCAAGGGTCCTGGCACACATGTCTCCTCAGGAGAGCCATCTGACGTTAACTTCTGGCTTCAACAGATCGGCAACAGCCCCAGTGACTCACAAACTCAAGGACGGATCTCTTAACTCTTTGGGGACAGACGGAACGACCGTAGGGTGGCGTGCGAGGGAGTTCACCCCTCGTTCAATCATCACAGACATGGGATCAGACAGGAAGACCCCTTTTGGGAAGAGGGAAGTTCTCTTTTTCTTTGCTGCCCTTGAAGGGCTCTGCCTCGGCTTGTCAGCCAAAAGCCCTGCGGGGTTCCTGGCTCAAAACAGCGAACAGAATTAAACATATGTTCAAGAAAAGGTAACCATTTCAAATGTAGGTTAGGTTTCTGACATGTGGAATTGGTATTCAATGTTCCTAAGAAATATTATGATGTTTTCCACCATTTGTAATTCAATTCGAAGATTGTTTAAATCTATACCGTTACCTTACTGTGTGAATCTATTGTTGACAAACATGTAAGTTTGTGTTCAAGTTGAGTTAAAATAAAAAAATGAATTATTAAAAAAAACCCCCAGCAAACAGGAGGCCGTGGCCGCACGCTGCCTCTCCCTGCGCTATGCTCCTCTTGAGTCGCATGACAAAGTTTCCGTAAGGGCCACAAGTGCAAGTCTCAGTTATCTGATGAAGAGAGGTTTGATTCCTGAAGACGCGTACCTGGAGAATATTATTAGTCTTTAAGGTGCTCCTGGACTCTAAATCTAGTGGCTCGAAGTCTTCTCCCAAAGCAGGTATATTCTGTGGCCGCTCCACGTGCCACTGGACGGAGGGTAAACCGAAGAGGATTTCCACGCCTGGTGCAACAGACCCCCTTACAGCCACAGGTATTCTGCCACAAAAGCCGCCAAGATCTTACACAAGTTCTCCACCGTGGGTCGGTGCAACTTTGCCTCCGTGTCCTCCATGGTGTGCCAGAACACGGGGAAAGGGGTGGCGATGAGATGAAGGACCGGGACCCCTGCCACAAAGAGAGACAACGACACGCGTTTTAAGTCCAGGGCTGCCTGCAGATGAGAACTCCCATACTGAGGCTAGAATTCAAAACACCAGCGTTCGAAAAACCAAAACAAAAGCCAAGTTTCTAGCCCTTGTGAGGAGCTAGGGGAGGGGCCAGGCTTCGTTCCACTTGCCTTCATGCTGTGGAGGAGTGAAGGAAAACAGGAGGAGGAGGAGGAGGAGGGACTGGCGTCACATCCTGCCTTCTCTGAAGCCCTGCACAAGCTGACCTGAACATTAACGGAGCTGCCTTAAACTGAATCGGATATTTCGGTCCATCCAGGTCAGTTTTGTCTACTCAGACTGGCAAGCGGCTCTCCAGGGTCTCAGGCTGAGGTCTTTCCCATCACCTCCTGCCTAGTCCTTTAACTGGAGATGCCGGGGATTGAACCGGGGACTTTCTGTATGCCAAGAAGATGCTCTTCCACTGAGAACTTCTACAAAATAAACACACACATAAAGTTGCCTTATATCAGGTCAAACCCTGGGTCTATCAACGTCTGCGCTGTCGACTTTCACTAGTAGCGGCACTAAGGAGAGGTGCTTCCATCACCTGCTATCTAATCCTTCATCACTGGAGATGTCAGGGAATAGAACACGGGACCTTCTGCAGGAAAAGCAGATGCTCTACCATCGAAGCATGGCCCCAAACCCTCCATGCATACCCAAGGATCCCAAAGGACTACAAAGGGTTCTACTGCCCCAAATCCTTTTAACTAGAAATGCCAGGAACTGAGCCTTAGGATCTTGTTCGAGCACAACAGAGGCTCTACGACTAAGCCCCTCCACGAATAACATTAAGCAGGGCTTTTTTTGTAGAAAAAGCCCAGCAGGAACTCATTAGCATAATAGGCCGCACCCAGTAGCAGAAACTCATTAGCATATTGGGCCACACCCCTGACAGCACCACTCATTGGCATATTAGGCCACACCCCCATATTACCAGAAGTGTGGTCATCCAGCCACACCCACCTTTTGCTTGTTATTCTGTTTACCTTGTTTGTTGTCCAAACCCAGGGCCTTTTTTTGTAGCAGGAACCCCTTTGCATGTTAGGCCACACACCCCTAATGTAGCCAATCCTAATGAGTTTCTGCTGTTGGGTGTGGCCTATTTTGCTAATGAGTTCCTGCTGGGCTCTGCCAACTCGGGAGCCAGCCGGAACTCCGTTCCTGAGCGTTCCTGCCCCAAAATAGCCCTGACATTAAGAAAAGCAACTCAGTGCTGTTATGTCTGATTTTACAGGGGTCCCCAACAGGGCGCCCAGGGTCACCATGGCAACTGCCAGCATCTTTCCTGGCACCCACCAAGCGTTTTGAGAAAGTGGGCGGGGCCCAGCTGGGGTCCTGCTGCCCAGTACGGGTTTTGACTGCCCATTTGAGGACTGATTCGCTGTGCAGATTAAAATAACACGTCTGCGACAGCTGCCAGTACAGTGTTGGTTTTACACTCTCTCGGACTCCTCTTTCCCACCATTATCTCTTGTACTTGGGCTTTCTCTGTGTGGTTGACTCCGCCTCCCACGTGGCCGTTTTGTGGTTGCCCCCATTTCCCTGGGTCAAAATTCTAAAGGGGACCCCTGTGTTCACACAGACCTCTGGACACAACAGCAAGAGAAAACGACTTGTGCGCAATGCTCCCTCTAAGCTGTGGGATCTTGTGAGCAAAAATCCTACTTTATGAGCTACTAGCATTAAAGTTGTGAGCGTGCAATTTGGCTACTGCATAAATTAGTTTGCTCTGGAGCCCTCCTTCCCGAGCCAAGACAAAAATGCGTGAGCCAGAGGCTCAAAAACTGTGAGCTAGCCTCACACCAACTCAGCTCAGAGGGAACACTGCGTTGTGTGTATTGGAAAGGAGTTACCTCTCTGGAGGAAGGGGATGTGGTCATCTTGGACGGGGCCGTAGATGGGATGCCGGCTGAAATACAGCTGCTCTTGGGAGTGGGAGGCCAGGAGACTCAGCCGGTGTAGCCGTCTTTCTGCATAATGCAACAAAACCCCAGAATTCAAATCCGAGCACTTTCAGCAAGAATCCCAAACTGGTGGACTGGCTATGCACTGGCCCAAATGTCTCGGACACTTTTGGCAGGGCTGCTCTCGTGTGGAAATTGGCATTTGGATCTGGAAGTCAAACACCCAGACTGGAACATCACAGCTAGAACCACAAACCTGTGAAGTCTCCACAATGCTGCCCCAGGGAACAGGCCAGACAGCCAGCCCTGCGGAGCAGGAAGACATTGGGTTTCATGTGCTAAAAGTATTTTCCCTGCCCTGTCAACCCAGACCTGTCTTCAGGATGGCTTACAGCAGGGGTCTCCAACAGGGTGCCCGTGGGCACCACGGCACCCACCAGCATCTTTCCTGGTGTCCTCCAAGTGTTCTTAGAAAGTGGGTGGGGCCTGGTGGGGCTTTTGCCCAGCAAGGCTTCTGATTGGCTATGCAGATTTTTCAAACACATTGATTTGGTCGCAGTTTGAAAGCAAGAAACTGCAAGTAGATAAATAGGTGCCGCTTCGGTGGGAAGGTAACAGTGTTCCATGCGCCTTGGTGTTTAGTCATGCCGGCCACGTGACCACAGAAACGTCTTCGGACAGCGCTGGCTCTTCGGCTTTGAAACGGAGATGAGCACCACAACCCTAGAGTCGGATTCGACTGGCTTTCGAGCAAGGGAACCTTTACCTTTTACCGCCACAGCACAAGGGTCTTCACTGTATGACTTAAGATAACCCGCAGCAGCCATTTTGTGAGTGGCTCGGCCTCCTGTAGCTGCTCTTTTGTGGGAGCCATGCTGTGGCCGTGCCCACCACGGTGTGTCAGAATTACCAAATGTGCCCACAGGCTCAAAAAAGGTTGGGGACCCCTGGCGTACAGAAATCCTAACGCCGGCTTGGACGCTTGATCAATTAAATAAGCGCGGGACAGCTAGTGACAAGCAATGTTCCCTCTAAGCTGTAGAGTCTTGTGAGCAACAATTTTACTTTGTGCG